GAGGACTCAGACAGAATAGGGTCCCAGCACTGAGTCAGTTTCAGACATGAAATGGCTCCGGATTGCTCCCACTCTCTCGAACTCTCTTTGAAATCGGGGAGAAATAGGAAAGCTCATATGGTCTACCTATTGGTGCAGGATGGCTTTCAAATATCCATCTAGGAATAGGAAGAGCTACGAGGTGGAGTTATGAATAAGACTACCGAGTTCATAGCAAACCCACTGGATAGATATTCGCTGGCATGCGGAACTTCGGTCGCATTTGTGCAATTGAGCAGCGAATCAGTTAGAAGTTTGACCAGCGTATCGAAAAGCGTCATCGTCGAGCAATCATTGATCTGTAATTGATGGTATCACAAAGTGACTTCCCGTTAACGTCAGCCACAAGAGAAATCGGAAATTTGCCACATTACGCATACATCTTATAGGAACTGAGCGAGACGGTCACAGATAATGTGGAGAGAAAGTGATAAATGCAAAAAATCGTAAACATGTCTCATCTTCACCTATCAGAACACGAGAATATGAAAGTTATAAAGAAGTTCTACTGGATCAGATCGAAACGATTCCCATCACTGATGACTGATGACAGATAGCGTCATACTGTGCCTGCCCTACAGCTTTGAGACACGCCCAAAGATAATTTAATCATCATATAACAAGCATTTTACCAATTACATGTCTAACAATATCTACTAAGCTTGCAAAGATTTCGTGCAACATGGTAAAATATGATAATCAGTGGAGATACCAAAGTTCTTATGCTGAACCAGTAGGTAGGGAAGAAGAGAAATGTGATCGGAGGGCTAGATCCGAAAGTATGCGGCTCGAAAATGCCGGGAACTGTCACAACTTGCCTTTCTATCCTAGCAGTTAAGGTGAAAATAAAGAAATTTTGAAGCATCTAAAAATGAGCCTTGGCGGCTTCAATTGAGCTCCATCAAGAGCGCCACGCTATAAGCTTCCAGTCAAGGATTTGTGAAGTGAAAAATGATTCACCAAGGTTACTCAGGCAATTGAAGCAAATACGAAGAGACCGTTCGTTTCTATAAAGTCAATAAAAATGAGACATAATACGTGCTCGAATTGGATGCTCATGATAAAACGAGGAAAGCATCAAGCGAAAGGATAAGGCTGATCCTTATCCACTCTCACTCGATCATCCTTTTTAGATAATAGAACCATCTACTTAGCACTCCGCTTGAACCACTAACTTCACACTAATTATTAGAAAATCATTAATGTTGAGATCAATAATCGAAAAGTACGGTCA